GAACAGGTACTAATTGGAAACTCTATTATTAAGAGGACACCATTGAAACAACATAATAGCTGTAGAATAGACAGATGTTCTCAAGTTATTTTAAACACACGCATGAAAGGAAAAAATTCTTAAAGTGCACACATTTATTTAACTTGCAAAAGTACTCTCTCAACAGAGTGTGTTTTAATAATGTTATCAGTTGTTAACTTAAACTTACATGTAACTCATAAAAGTATTTAACCGCATGGTAACTTGACACTCTACTGTTCAATATAATGTTAATGCTAATGACAAAATTATGTATTATTACATGTAAATTTCAATCCACAGCATATAATTATTTGAAATATGAGAGCTCCATCTTGAATAGCAATATTGGTTCTGAATAAATTACAAAATTTAGAGAGGAAGCCATACAATATTAAATTCCAATTCGACCAGTATGGTCGAATTGTAATTTGGAAATGTTGGCTTATGTGAAGGAAGGGAACCAGAGAACTCAGACCAAAACCCTTGGAGCAAGGCAGGAACCAACAACAAACTCAATTAACACACATGGCACTGGGCTGGAATTGAAGCCAGGCTGCAGTCATTGGTGGGAGGCAAGCGCTCTTGCCACTGAGCCATCCCTGCTTCCATGTATACTGTACACCAGCACATGTATTAAACTTGGTAGCATTCTGGATATTATTTGTATATAACAGGGAGAAACTGATAGTTTGCAAGTTAGAACTAGGAGTTAATTGATTAGCCTGATATCATTTAGTGGTGACTGGTCATGAGATAACCAAAAACTTCAAGTTTGAATTTTGATATGATTGTTTATTTGATGATCGGCTCAAGGATTTCACAAGTCAAGTATTAAATCAAGAAGGATATCTCCATTTATACACATTGTGTTGTCTTCTTTAAACAGCGAATTGTCATTGTGCTGGAAACAGTAAATAATCCGACTGACTACAGTATGAACACCTACAGTCATACAATATAATCAGCCGACTGTAAAAGTACATTACAAAAACTTATCTCACATGAGGCCNCCGTGCCTTTTTTTAATTATAAGCCCCTAAAGCTGTAACTAAGGGTGTTTTTAGCAGGTCATACGATTGCTATGGTAACCTATTGTGATACGAAAATGATACAACGTGTTCACCAACGACTGGGCAGTTTTTTGATACCATGATTGTGGCATCAAGTGTTAAAGAGTGGATATAACAATCCATCATATTCTAAGTGCTAAAAACTGTTTTGAGCCACCTTAAGGCGTGTGTTATTGTGTTCTTAACTAACGCGAAACGTTTGTTTTAATTGAAATATGGATAACTTCAATTTTCTCTCGTGTGGTCAGCCTGAGAGCTTAAGTCTCGATACGTTGTTCTAAACTGTATTCAAAATTTCAAAATATTACCGTGCCATGAGGTTTTTTTCGGTAATGTCGAGAATATGATTGCGTAATAAGCGTGTGACGCTGTTAATATTTACTTAGAACGGACAAGAGAAAGTAGAGCTCTTTTTGTACACGTGGATCGAGTCGAGCGAGCAAGCAATGGAAAATTTATATCGAGAGTGAGTAGCGTTGAACTTGATGTAAGCTTGTATCGAGAAATTTAATCAGAACATTAAAGCAATTCACAACAGTAATTTAATTTTCGCCATTATTGCTCGACTGTTCTACGGAAATCATCTTAACATGCCTTTGACGTCAGGACAATACAGTCTTTCCCGCTTGCTGAATCCTGATTGGTCAATTCAAATTTCAGGTGCGCCGGCCGTAATTCAAGGTTCTCAGCTTTCGCGCTAGGTCCACTAGGCCTCGATGTTTCGCCTCGGTCAATCGTCTTCGCATCACGAGTTAAAGTGTTGCCGAAGTCAATTGACCGAGAGACTTGGCAAGTTGTCAGCCACCACTTGTCGCTCTCGAACAGCGGGGTGGCTCTGTAAGCAAGCTACGCTTTTTCTCTAAGAAGCAAGAGACTGGGAGAAAGGGGAGCGATTTTCCCTCTTATTTCACCCGTTTCACCATCATCCATTTTAAATGCGCGGGAGACTAGCTTTCACTTCCGCGCGCATGCCCTGGAACAGACCTGCTACAGAGTTCAGGGTGGAAAAACGTATTGCGCAGTTTTCTGCACATCCCTAGCTCTATTTGCAGGCTAAGGTAATAATTAGGACGGAAATGGTCGTGTTCGCGCTTCGTGTTCACCTCAGCACAAGCTTAAAACCCCAGTGTGCACGGACAATTTTCGTAACGCCGCCACGAATTTTTTTATGGTGTCCAGTCCACGCGCGCCATGCATAGTCTCGCCGATCACACAACGACCGCACGCATGGGGAATGTTGCGTGACATCCCGTCACTGACGTCAGCGGGAAATCACCACACAACCGATTGTCCCGTGCAAAATGGCGGAAGGTGGGAGAATTACGCGGCGACCTTCAGGTTTTACCGAGCACTTTTTGAATGCTGTTGAGGATGATTTACAGTGTTCAATATGTCATTTGCCGCTTAATAAGCCTGTTTTGACAAGATGCGGTCACAGGTTTTGCAAAGAATGCCTCGGGGAACATTTTAGAAGGTTGGTTCGTGATACGCCAGTTGAAGATACCAGTTTGGAATGTGATTTCAGTTCAGCAGCTGTGTGGTTTCGTGATTTATGGGCAAATTTTCAATAGAAACGTAAAAATTGGAGAAGGCGCAAACACAAAAGTCTTTAAAAGCACAGAAAAGCGATCGTCCCGTGTTGAATGCAAATGCATGTCCTTTGTGCACTGTTATGATTCTCCCAGCAGGGGAAGGGATAGGGGTGTTTACAAATATTCGAAAGCCCTCTTCACGGTTGTAACTTTTTCATTTGCATTACAGTATAACTGAATATAATCATGCAAGCATGTGAGGCAATTTCGGGCAGTTTTGCAGCTTGTGAACGAAAATGCATCCATCCATATGCATGTTGGATTACATTGTACATGAAATGCAAAAGAGAAATGGGCGACGTTGTTATGTCAAAATATTTCTAACTTGGCTCCAAGGCTTGGGGGAATAAAACAAAATAAGTTAATTATTCCTGCAAAGGTTTCTTTCAGTGATTTCATTTGTTTTGTTCCCCCAAATATATTGAAAATGGCCTGTCGTTATATGAAAGGAATCATTAGGGTTGGGGGACGGGTTAGGCAATTTTTCTTTTAGGCAATAATTTTTCCCAATTCCAGGCTGGGCATGATATTTTCCAGATTTGTTCCCCATATAATTTTCTTTTTCTTGGCTCAGTTTGCACAAATATTCTTTGTGTTTTTCTTGTTCAGGTACTTTTTGGGTACAAATTGCCCACATGACACTCCCATCAAAATTTAATTGGTCTGTGATCCTTTATAACGTGGTAGTACTTTTAGATATAAGCCACCTGCAGCAACAAAGACAAAGCGTATTTATCAAGAAAAGAAATCTCTATTTGCTGTCTTGCCTCCTTGGTCGAATTCTTAAATAAAGAGAAATCGTCATTACTAAAGCTTGTAGAATAATTAAAACAAACAAAACCATAACATATGCTGCGATCTACTCCTTTTCATTCCAAGATAAATTTAAGCTAAAGCTTTAGCTTTGGACGTGTCCTTAACACAGTCTGTCAACATTCTAGAGACATTTAATGTGGACCACTACAGATTTTATAAGATTCTGCATGCTCCTACAATTTCCACATCTTTTGATTTTCCTGATCTCGTAAGGGGAGGTTGATGTGTATCATTTCATGTCCAAACATAGTTCAGATCACTAGGTGCTTTTTTGTCAAGATTCCTTGTCACACCTCGTCATTGATGCGTCATCATGCATGAAGTTGTAGATAAATCACTGCATAAAATATGTCACTATCATAGTATGTGCTGTAGCATTACTATCTTTTAGGTACCCTGGTTCTAACTGGAATATTAAAAATTTGCATTTGATAATGGCAACAGGATGACATTGAAAGTTTATGTTCTTGCATTAATTTTCTTTTAAAAATATCTTTTGGATATCTTTTATATTTTTACCCAGTTTATTTTACTTGTTTTATTAAAAAAAAAAATTTTCTATGGACACTTTTTTACAGGCAGGGAGAAAGTGGCCAACATTGCAACTGTCCTACAGACAGAATAGACTTGGATCCTGCCCAGGTAAATGACCTTAAGAGCTGCGTATATTTTTGCAGGACATTTGTTACAAAATGATTCAAGGGAAACAGTACATAATGTAATAAACTTGTTAACTCCATAAGCTGTACAGTAGTAGTACTTAGTTACCCATCAAGCTAGGAGTCTGCAACACAGCATGAAGGCACACACCTGTAGGAAGCAGCTAGGAGTACATCAACCCCTACCCAACTCTCCCCATATGGGATGCTTGAAGTCCATTACAAGGTTACTCCCCTGGAATTAATTTTTCAGTGTACATTTATACACTTGGGAAGAGCAAAGCACTCTTAGAAAAGTCTCAAGTGCCTCACTTAAAACACTGAGAAGTGTCCATTGTTTGTAAGATACTGAGAAAATAGTGAGTTTTTCATCAGGGCAGACAAAACTTTCCATAATTTGAATGGATGTCAATATTAAATAACTGCCGGTGGAGCAGGTTCCATTTTGTTTTAATTGAATAAGATTTTCTTTTTCCTCCGTGCAAGTTAATCATCTTTACAGTTTTTCTTTTATGTTAATTGCTTTTAGGATGTCTTCCCTGACAAAGCAACAGAAAGGAAGGTTCTTTCTTTTGCCATCAAATGTCCAAGTGAGGGTTGTGAATGGACTGGTGAACTGAGGAATGAACAGGTACTAATTGGAAACTCTATTATTAAGAGGACACCATTGAAACAACATAATAGCTGTAGAATAGACAGATGTTCTCAAATTATTTTAAACACACGCATGAAAGGAAAAAATTCTTAAAGTGCACACATCTATTTAACTTGCAAAAGTACTCTCTCAACAGAGTTTGTTTTAATAATGTTATCAGTTGTTAACTTAAACTTACATGTAACTCATAAAAGTATTTAACTGCATGGTAACTTGACACTCGACTGTTCAATATAATGTTAATGCTAATGACAAATTATGTATTATTACATTTAAATTTCAATCCACAGCGTATAATTATTTGAAATCTGAGAGCTCCATCTTGAATAGCAATATTGGTTCTGAATAAATTACAAAATTTAGAGAGGAAGCCATACACCTGTATCAGTCTTAACTGGTTTTCATTCAAGTCCTCTATCCTGGTCGAATTGGAATTTGGAAATGTTGGCTTATGTGAAGGAAGGGAACCAGAGAACTCAGACCAAAACCCTTGGAGCAAGGCAGGAACCAACAACAAACTCAATTAACACACATGGCACTGGGCTGGAATTGAAGCCAGGCTGCAGTCATTGGTGGGAGGCAAGCGCTCTTGCCACTGAGCCATCCCTGCTTCCATGTATACTGTACACCAGCACATGTATTAAACTTGGTAGCATTCTGGATATTATTTGTATATAACAGGGAGAAACTGATAGTTTGCAAGTTAGAACTAGGAGTTAATTGATTAGCCTGATATCATTTAGTGGTGACTGGTCATGAGATAACCAAAAACTTCAAGTTTGAATTTTGATATGATTGTTTATTTGATGATCGGCTCAAGGATTTCACAAGTCAAGTATTAAATCAAGAAGGATATCTCCATTTATACACATTGTGTTGTCTTCTTTAAACAGCGAATTGTCATTGTGCTGGAAACAGTAAATAATCCGACTGACTACAGTATGAACACCTACAGTCATACAATATAATCAGCCGACTGTAAAAGTACATTACAAAAACTTATCTCACATGAGGCCGAACTCTCGCGTATCATATGACTTTGTTGACATCGTCCTCTCGATTAAATAATGTCACATGCTCGATTACTGTACATAACTTGACACATTCAATTACATAAGGCCACAATTGCTCAAGTCTTAAAATATTTCTGATCATTAATGATAATTCAAAACTATAAGTTTTTAGAAAATGTGTAACTACAGGATTACTTGTAAAATAACTTTGATCAATTTTTCCAGGTAATGACAGCATAATTAATAATGGTAACAGGACTGAGTGGAGTCCAATTCAGTCTGTAATCATATGAGTGATAAACAGAATCGGACAACTGCAAAGTGGGAGTCCGATTTGTTCATCATGAGTATGATTACAGACTGAATTGGACGACACGATGTCCTGTGACCAGTTAATCAAAACTATGACAAAACTCGAGAAACGAACAAACCATCAATTAATTGCTGAACGATTAAACGTCATTATGAATGCTGAAAAACACAGCAGTTTACGCAACAAAGTGCACCGCAACAGCGTGTGCAAAATGACGCGTACTGTCCAATTACAAGCATGACGCGTACACTGTCAAGTTAATGCTCAAATCGGGCTGCTGATAGCCAATCACATTCGAGGATTTTGTTATAGTTGTGATTAACATGAATATCATTCAAATCTCCCAGCAACAAATCTCATCTGCTGAATACTGTCTCTTATCTTAAAAGACATTTGTCCTCTTTGGCTCTATATCTGCTACATGTAACTCTTCACATCAGTTAGCATAATAAGAACATGAACATCATATTCTCTTGTACTCCACGACAGTAATTATTTATCACTCATTTAGAATGAGTTAATGTTAACTTGATATTTGAAAGGTATCATCATTTCTAATATGCAGTGGAAATTAAAGAATCCCTTCATTTTCACTTTGGAATTCGAATACTGGGGATGTGGAAAATTATGTGCCAAAACATGTAATTGTGCTCAGTGACTTTCAGCCTGAAAAGTGATGTTGACTACTTTGTGTTACAGGGTCATATGGTATCTTGTCCTTGCGTACATGTTCCCTGCACAAACCAAAACTGTGATGTCACTGTACAAAGGAGAAATCTTCAACAACACATCACCTCTAGATGACAGTGGAGGATCATTCAATGTAAACACTGCAGTGAGCCACATCCAAAGTGCCGAATGAGGGTAATTTGAATTTGAAATGCTAAAGGTGTAATACTAGTACCAGGGTAACCATAGCAACCTAGAGTGCCAGCTAGGATAATCTTCCAGTATTTACCCAAGCATGCAGTAGAGTTTTCCTGTCTTCTTCTGAACTAAACTGTAGGGCCTTTTAAAAAGGATTTCACCTGCTGCACTGTTTGTGGCACAAGAACATTCAACCACATACATTGTAACTCCTTTGCTAAAAGCTTTACACGAGCTTCCACCCAGGCAACAACTTTATTTCCAATTGCTGTTTTGGTTTTTAAGTGCATGGTGAGCATGATCCAGAGCACTTCAGTTGACATCTAAGCTCGAAATGGACCACTGGGCATTCAGACCACTTCTCCACACTGCTAGTGGCTATAGGACCTTTTAGTAATAGAGTCACCTCTCTGTGGAATAAGTTGTAGCCTGCACTCAAATTGAACAAACCTGTAACTGATTTCAAGTGTCCTTAGACAATTGCTTCTGAATGTCTCTTTTAGTTGGGGTTTTTATTTAATGATTGTCGCTGACATTAATTTTATGTTGTTGTTGTCATCATTTGCTTCCAGTGCTCTTAGCTTCTGTGATTTTTAATTTTTTATTGTAAAATTGACTCTGAAAAGCCCTGTAAGGATGAGCCAATAAAGTATTTATGTAGTATTTATGTACTGTTCAATAAACGAGCGGGAATGTTTTATCAAGTTTAGACTTGATAAAACACAACTCGCGAGTTTATTAAACGGCATCAAAATCTTGTGATGGCTGTAGATCAACTCATTCTCGCACTGATGTTTCGATTTGGCTTAGGAAACTGGATGTAAAGTTTAGCTCTGTCTTTATCAGATATAAAGACACTCATTAAACATTCATTTCTTTTGTATTTTCCGTATGAATTATTATGAGTTTTTGAAGTAGTATTTATGTAGGATTTGTATGGAGGAGTTACCAGATCTAGAGAGAAGAATCTTGTTCTACAGTGACAGTTTTGATGCCTATTTTGGGAACGCTGCCCCCTGCCATGCAGATATAAAAATTGAGTGACTGGGGCACAGCAGTTAATGAAAAAGAGGAACTTCTCGCTATGAAATCTTAATACATGTAAGATGTTGAACGTAACTTTCTCTTGCAGAATCATATGGGACAGTGTGCCAAGTCCCCAGTACCTTGTCCAAGTAATTGTGCTCGTTCAATTCCCAGAGAAAAAGTAAGGCGTTTGTTTTTTGTATTTAATATCTATTGTTGTTTGACCTAAAAGATGACATTTAGATTCTAGCTGCCAATGTTAAGGCCTGATTTTAGGGAAAAGTCAGTGAAAACACATTCATGGATGGTTTAACGTTTAGAACTTTATGTGACAACACTGGAATATTTTTTTCTGTAATTAACAGAAAATGTGAAGAGCTTTGGATGTCTGCGAGTCATTTCCCTTTTCTCCTCAGTACTTTAATAGTTCGCATTTCATCTATTTTTTTCAGATTTCAAACCACACCACAAACGACTGTCCATTGTCATTAATCTCCTGTCCTTATGAACAGATAGGCTGCAAAAGAAAGGTACTAAGATCACCTTCGACACTTTTTTATTATCTCTATCACTTTTGGCAGTATTGAACACAGCGACAAGATTTGGAGAATTCAATTCTTTTAACTTTTGCAGTGGGATCGCCATTTCCCAAGTAGGGGAATGAAAAATTGTTTTAGGTAACGGGAGTTCCAAATAACTTGGGTGGTAATGTTTTAGTGTAAAATATTAAACAGTCTCGTGTAGCAGTGGTTATTTTATGTGCCGTAATTAGACTTGAAAAGGTTGGGGACTTGAGCATTATTGCATAATCTATGTCGCAGAGTTCAAATTGTAACAAAAGTACAACGAAGTTCGCGTTCTCTCTTGTCACGAAGTACGACGGTGTTTATTGATTGCTTTTGTTAGAAGTCAAGGGCATGACTTATTAATTCATCTTTTAGTTACACAGTTCAAGATAGCGAGATTAAATTAGGTTAAAGTTAGGAAGACGGTAACTATTGGAAATAACTGGAAAGTTTTAGAAAGCGGGGCTATATTTTACATGCAGTAAATATAAAATGATTTTACATTTACAACCAAATCTAAGGGAACTTACTTTTTGTTCAAGATACCTTTTAGCGGAGATTTCGAGATAACAGGGTTGATCTGTATTTTATTTTCTCTTAGAAAACAGTCCTAAGAAAATACGCGCGCTGATTGGTTAAAAATCGTGTTTCTATAACTCGATGGAAACACAGAACTAGCACGAGCTGTTGACGTAATGATGGCGCGTGCAAAGAGAATTTACATTTTAATTTTGTCCCGGATGTGATAAGGTAAATTTTAGTGAGAGGTTAAGTGGACTCGCACGTCCCGAGTAGCCATCGTCTTAGATTACAGCCAAGTTCCACTGCGTTATTTCATGCTAAGCATAATGAGCTGTAAAATGTACTGATAAACCATGACCTGAAAGTGTAAAGAGATTGGGTCGGGCGTGCAAAACATTTCCAGTTGAGACACATGCAATTCAAGTCTACGTTAAAGTACGCTCATCATTTTTCAGAACCACAATGCCAATTTACAAAGACCTGTGTCAGTTGGACGCTTCCTTTCTTTGCATGGTTCGGTTATACTTAGTATGTGTTATGGGGGAGGGGGGTAGAAAACACTTTTGCTGCCAGCTAACGTATTGTATGAAAGCATAAACGTCCTGTTGAGATTCAGCTAAGTAATTACATGTTGCCTTGTAGGTTCAACGACGAGAAATGAAATCCCATCTTGAATCTGACGTGAAACCCCATCTTGACTTAGCTTGTGTCAAACTTGAGACCCGTACGTTTATTTGGAAGATTGAACACTTCAGTGAAGTTTTGAGGCAAGCAAAGGCCGGGGAGAAAAATAGAATAGAAAGTATTCCATTCTATACAGATAGGACAGAAAGTTATGGCTACAAGTTAAGGGTATGGATTTATCCCAATGATGACAGAGGTAAGGTGAATACTCACCTCTCCGTGTATATTGTTGTAATGGAAGGTGAATATGATGCTATATTACCCTGGCCTTTCAAAAAGAAAGTGAACTTTACACTGATTGATCAACAGGAAGATCCAGTCGAACGGGAAAATGTTACCATACATTTAATGGCAGGTAATCACCCAAAAAACTTTGCAAGGCCTAGGAAAAACGACACCAGTATTGGGTGTGGGTTTTCCGAGTTTGTAACTCACGACAAACTTCATTCACGGCGCTACATTGTAGATGACACTCTGTTTCTTCAGGTTGAGGTCGGACCGTCATCCAGTTAAAATCTTCTTGTAACTGCCATCGTTGATTTTCATAGTCTCCTTTCCACCGCTGATGACACAAAGAATGTAAAACAGGTCAAATGGAGAGTATGGCTAAACGAGTTTCAAAATAATTTTAAATAAAGACGAATGGATCAAACGTTCCCAAAAATTACTCAGAAGGAGTGGTTCAGTTTTCAGCTACCTCGATCTGGTACGACTAACAGCAGAATTTTTATAATTTGTACTTCAAGTGAAACTAGGTTCAAAGTGTTTCCTAAACAGTCGCCTGTAATGTTTAGGTTTCTTTCCGGAAAGGAGCAGAATTTCCCAGATAATGTTAGTTAAGCTTCGCGTTCAAAAAATGGTCAAGTGTTGTTGTTTATAGTGGTTAATGCGCTGTTTATAGTGGTCAATGCATTGCGATATACTGAGTTGTTTCGTTCCATTTGTTCAAGGTGTTGCTAAATAATTGATTGATGGAGAATACTCCAGAGCTGTTGATCATTAAGTGGAGATTTTGTTTATCAGAAGATTAATTATAGATGACATTGTAAGTTACTAGGGCTAAAGCTACGTTTCAAACTGAGAATTGTAGAAATAAAGACAAGATCTCAATAAACATGTTTTAACGCCAACTGTCTATTCCTACCTGGATGTGCTTCCGAAGTTATCCATATTCTTTTAACTAACTCGAACTCTTTAAAATCCGAAGGCAAAACACAAAGACACATAAGACACATGTGGGCCGAATATTTAAACGAAGTTTAGTTTAGACTAAATCGAGGTTTAGACAAGGCCTCCAAAGACCACGGCTAGGCGTGGTCTAGATCGCATTATTTAAATGCAGTCGAGCCGCATCCTACGGAGACCATGTCTAAGCGTGGTTTAACTAAAATTCCTATTGTTTGCCAAACACCGCGTGTTTAGAATTTTGAAGAGGCCAGATGAAAAAATGGCGTCAAAATCTCGAAATGCAAATTTGAGCCAAAAAGAAA